CTAGTACTCACTCAGTAGTGCTTACTCAGTAGTACTCACTCAGTAGTGCTTACTCAGTAGTACTCAGTAGTGCTTACTCAGTAGTACTCACTTACTAAAGACACTGGAGGCCTTGGACATTGAATCCCTGGGTATAATCCCCAATATGCCAAGGGTAAATGAGTGCAAATCAGTCCTTCACCTTTGTTTGTGGCAAGTCAGTATACTTGATATAATACAGAAAATTTTTCTGTGAGTAAAGACTATTTGAACGTCACTTGGGTTCAACTGAGCTTTTAAAAATTATTGACTTTCATGTATGTGTTTTGCTTGCATGTATGTCTGTGCACCACACATGCTTGGTGCCCAAGGAAGTCAGAAGAAGATATTAGATTCCCTAGAACTGGAGTTATGGATGTTGTGAGGTCCTATGTAGGTACTAGGTATCAAACAGAACCTCAGGAAGAGCAGCCAGTGCTCTTAACCACCGAGCCATCTCTACAGCTCCCCCAACCCTATTGAACTTTTTAATAAACATCCACATTCTTCATTCTAAATGTTATAATCATCCCTCCAGTCTTCAATGACTGTGAAACATCAGTTAAAACTTAGACACCAACAGTGAACATTTACCTCTGTAAATCTGGGTCTCAAGACCAGCAAACCTCATTTAGTAGTTCTCTCTCTGCAGCTGCTCTCTCTTCCTGCCAGTGGATGGTGTGGAGTATCAGATGGCTGAGGTAAAAAAGCCAGCGATTTCCATCTGTCCTTCTAGGCATTGTTCATCTGATTTGTGTCACCTTTCATTTTTGGCTCCTTCTCTGAGAACTTCCTGTTTATGTGTCAGCTTCCCCTGCAAGGACTGTCTGTGCATAGGCCTAAGGACTGTACATGTTTGACTGTCTTTCCCGTGCTGAGAGAGAACATAACAGACCTGGCATGTGTGTGTGCTTACTGTGTACAAGCTAGAAATTTACCTTATCGGTATTTGAAGACCTGTGAGGCATGTAAGTATCACATTAATCTGACTTAAATTTTCTGAAGTATTTATTTTCCCCCTTTTAACATTTGTTAATCTATTTTGGGAGTATGTGTCAAGAAATTTGGTAAATAAGGTGCCATGCAGACAGGTTCACTATCCTGGCCTCCTGCGGTGACTTGTTTGGCTTTGTTATTTACAAAGCCAAAGATGACTAATTATTATTAGTATCTTGTCCCCCAGACTAAAACAGTTGGGATTGAATAGGCTTCTTCCATGATTTAGGCCATCTTAACACCTTTTACACAAAGTGTTGGTGTGTGGAGGGTGAGGGGAGGGGGGTGGGTGGGAGGTTGCTAGCAGGAAATAGAAACTGAACCAGGATGGAAAAACAGGTAGCTGGTAGGTTTTTTATTTTTTTGACCCAGAGGGGCTTTTTCACTCATTCACACTTCCTGGCAACAAGATGAAAGTGCAGTTCAGTTCTCCATAAATTATTTGCATTTTAATTGCACCCCCTTTCTCCCCTCTCAAGAGATTAAAGGCTTTAAGCTTTCAGTAACAAGGCCTGAGATAATAAGGCAACCAACACGGTGCCTTAAGAGTGGTGAAAACATATATTTGAGGATAAAACATATTGAACAGTGTAATCGACTCTGGACCAACGTCGGTAAATACCCAACACAGAGCCATGCACCGAGAGAGACTGAAAGTGCAAATTCAAGGCAGCATCCTTTGCTTCTAGCTCTGTTGGTGGAACAAGCTTCAGGTGGCAAAAATAAACCCTCCGGACTTAAAATAGCAAGCTCCATTCACACGGTAACCAATAATATTTCTAGTTTACACTTAAATGTTTTCATTCCGTAACCGCCGCAAACTGCCAAATACACAATTTCATCGCGAGAAAGGAGAATTTAAAAATAGGACGGGGGTTTATCGCAGACCGTCATAGGGTTTTAAATCTACTTCCCGCCATGCAACTTACACATGCTGTTAAAAAAGAAAGAAAAAAGAAACCCACTGAGGCTGTCAGAAAACATTTCCTTGGGTCGTTTCACCTCACCTGAGGTCTCCTTAACCACCCAGAATGCCCTGAGCTCTGCTGTGGGCCTGCGTGAGCCAGCGTCAGGGAACAGTGCAAGCACCCGCGTGTCCCTTCCCCAACCCCCATTAGGTTTTGCTAATCGTACAAGCCTTCTCGCTCTACTCTCCGCTCAATCTAATAAAGCAGATTTTTTTTTCTTTAATTTTTTCAAAACACCAGCGAGGGCGAGGAAGGAAGAGAGCCAGGCGCTTGGCCGCCCGGCGCGCACGCGCACCTCCCGAAGCGCGACGCCGGAGCCCCGCCCCCTTCCCTCACCCCACCCCTCGGCGCCGGGGAGTGACTGACTCCCGCCAGCCCCTCCACGTCAATCAACTCCCTCCTCCTCCTCCTCCTCCTCCTCCTCCTCCTCCTCGCACTCTCTGCACCTTGTTATTAATCTCTAAAGCGATAGCGCCTGGACTTCTCTCCCCGGCCCTCGGGGTTGTGAGCGTGTGGGAATTAGAGCGAAGGCACCGAAAGCTCGCGGCTCTCTCTCTCCTTCTTTCTCTCTGCTCGGCCTCGGCAGCAACTCGGCTCGGCAGCAACTCCCGCAGCGGCAGCCTCAGCGCCAGGAGGCCAAGGCCAAGGGCGGGCTCCGCGAGGCGCTCGCAGCAGCGGCAGCCGCGTCTCCGGCGACCGCGGGCCCTCTCCTGCGCGTCCCGGTCGCTCAGGTCCGGCGCGGCCCGGCCCGCGTTCCCCCTTCCCCGCCCCCCGATCCGTCTGCTCTGCGCTCCCTTCGGCCGCCCTCCGCCGCCTCGGTGGTTCCTCAGGCGGCCCGGCCCGGCCCGCCCGCCCCGCGTCCCCTCCGGCCGGTGCCTCTCCCCCCGGCGGGCTGCCTGCATGTCTTTACTGCCCTCAGCCCCGCCGCCACCGCCGCCGCCGCCTCCCCCGCCGCCGCAGCCCCAGCAGCAGCCGCCCCGCCGCCGCCGCCGTCGCCGCCGCCCGGACCCTGGCGCGCTGAATGCAGGTGAGGAGGGGGCGCGGGCCTCGGCTCCCGGCCCTGCGCGCTCGCCTTCCGGGGCCCGGCCTCCCGCCGCCGCGGCCCCTCGGGGTGAGCGTGCGGGCGAGCGGGCGGGCGTGGGTGTTTGTGTTTGCGTCTGAGGTCTGGAAGGGAGCATCTGTGGGGGCCTGGTGCGCGCGCGCGTGTTTGTGTGTGTTTCCCCTGCCGCGGGGAAATGGCTGCTGGTGCTTGTTCTGGGCCCGCGGAGAAGAATGAGGTAGAGTGTTTCCGTGCTTCTGAGTCGGGCCGGGAGTGGAGCGAGGGGGAGCGCGTCTCCCCGGGGAAGTGAGGTGGGCGAGGGACGAACGTGTGTGGGTGTGTGAGTTGGGACTTTGGCGGGCGGGAGGCGGCCCCGCGGCGAGTGGGTGTGAGTGTGTGTGTATCGCGCGTGTGTGTCTGTGTGTGTGTCGGGCGGCGGGAGCCGGCCCGCGTCGCCTCAGGGGGCGCGGGTTCCCGGTCGTGTGCGTGTGGGGAGGGGACCCGAGTCGGGGACCCCAGAGCGGCGTGGTCCTCCCGCTTCGAGGCCGGGGCTCGGAGCCTCGCAGGTGAGAATTGCTCGGCGGGGATCCATGCCGTGGACGCGGGAGGCGGTGCGGCCCCCACGGCGGCGGTCGGCGGGGGCTCGGGCCGCGGTTCCCGAGGCCGGAGCCGTGGCAGGAAGCGCGCCGGCCTGCAGCGCGGCCTAACCGTCTTCGCGCTCGCCCGCCCGCTCGCTCGCTCGCCCGCCCGCCCCAGACGCTCCCGGGACTCCGTGCTCGCGCGGGCCCTGGGCGCTGCCCCGGGCCTGACCAGGTGAGGGTCGGGGGCGGGACACGCGGATCGCGGCCGCCTGTGCCGCCTCCGCGGCTCCCTAGGGGAGACGAAGGCATTTTTTGGCGTTCTAACTGCAGGCCTTCCCAGGCTGGCGTGGCGAACCCGAGGGAAAGTGAATCAAAACAGTTAAATCTCGGAATTCGTGGTGTTCGGATCTCCTCTTTACGTCCTTCCTTTAAGGCTGTGCGAGGAGAGACTTGAGTAAATACGTTCTTTGTTGTTGTTGTTGCTGCAGATAGTTTATCGCTGGTAAGATTTCCCTCCCTGGAAATCATCCTGGTAAGGCAGAGGAAGAAAGGGAAACGGGCCTTGTTGGCCTGTGGTGTTGGTGGGATTGGATCAATTTTGTGAATTTGAAATTGCTTATATCCTGCCTCCTAGAGGGAAAGGCGTGGACACACTGAACTGAGGAGGTCAGTGAGGAAGAGGAAGTTACCGGAGCTGTCATCTTAACCCAACCGGCTTATGTAGCTTAGACTGTTTAGGCGGATTGTGTTCAGGAGTTTAGCCGAGCTGTTTGTACACAGTGAAAGCACACTACAGCAGTTTTAGATGCTATCTTACGGATTCCCATTATCTCAGTTCTCCATGAAGATAGTTCATGTACAACCAAACGTGTTTTCCTCTAGTCTCCCAAACCTAGATCATCAGCTTCTATGGTCAATTCATTGTGTGCTCCTGGAAAGCTATTTTAGAAGAGTCAAAACAAAAAACGGAAATAAAGGTAGATCTGCCACTGAGTGTATAGTGCATTTCAGAGCTATATGTAAATGGTATTCTAGTCGGAGACTTACCTCACTTTTTACATTTGGGTTTAGTTAGTTAGCCCACACAGCTAGACCTTGACTGTGGCTGGAGTCACAATACAGTCTCATTTGAAGCTTTTAGGCCATGGTCACTGTAATGGCCAGAGATTGCTCTTTTCTGAACCTGGTCTCACAAAGAAGCAGTCTGTTCTTTAATGGGAAGGTGGGGGTGGGGAGAGAAGAGGTAAAAAGCTGTTTTCTATTAACACTACTCAAGGAACAGCCTAAGTGTGCAGTTTAATAGGAAAAGGGTCTTAACTTTTACAGACCCATTAGATCCATGACCATGACATTTATATTCATTCTCATAGTCTATTAATGTCTAGAATTTGTATATCAGTTTTCTTGTATCAAGAAGATGATACTCTTTCAGTAAGGTTGTGAGAAGAGTATGAGAAAAACATGTTTCGCATATAGTAGATGCGATCTTTTATTACTGCCTGCTACTGCTTTGATTATAAGTATCAAAAAGCATTTCTAAGTACAAATACTCATTAATTACCAATTGTGAGTTAGGGATCAAGAAACTAGAGCTGTGGATGTAGCTTTGTGTACGACTTGTGTGGGCCCTAGGTTTGGTTCCCAATACTGAGGGAAAAGTATTTCAGAGGCCTTTGATATACATGAGATGTCCTTTTTTAGAAATAAAATTGTCAATGTAGCCTTGCATGTTAGTTTATAGAAAATAGCCAAATGATATATTTATTATTTTTGAATAGTTTTAATTTCATTACTTTTTAATGAATTTTATAACATAGTCCCTAGGGGGAGGATTCTAAGTTCTGTATGTTTGAATACAATCAAATATCAAAATGGATGGAAGAAATTGATTTTATATACAGTCACAAACAATAAGTGTTATGAAACTGTTACATAATTCTTTTAGTTCAAGTTGACTGATTTTTGTAAATAAAACTTTTGGGAGTATCTTTCTGAACTTTTCTACCATCTTACAATAATTTGATGTTTTTATTTTGTGTAGAGTGAGTAGTACATGTACTATTTATTGAATTTTAATTTTTTCTAAAATTTAAATTTATGTTTTTAGAAAACCATAATGGTGAGGAGTGTAAAGTAAAACCAATGGGAAGATTAAAAGAATTACAATTTTTAAAATTAGATGTTTGTTTTTGAGAGTTTTGCCCTGTAGGGCAGGTTTACCACAGACATACAATCCTCTTTCCTCAGCCTCCCTATTGCAATTATAGACAATTGCTATTTCACTTGGTTCTAATTTAAGAGGTTTGTTTGGTTGCTTCCTTGTTTTACATTTTAGGGGGTAGAGATAAAGACAGCAGTGAGAATGTGGGAATAATTTCATTAAG